TTTACAAAATCAATAAAAAAAAAAACAAAATAAAACTAAATATAAACAACAAAAAAGAAAAATAATAATTAAAAATCATAATCTAACCATCACTAAACATCAATCTACCTCTCAAATGTTCAGAAAACAAATATAATACATTAGACAAACCCCATCGGAACTCCTATATTATTTCAATGCCTTAAGCATAGTCGAGCCCCTATAGACTGAAACTTGAACACATACCTCGACCCAAAATCCCTACTCAAGCAGTCAAACCGAAGAGCGACTTCCATCATAGTCGGCCTATATTGACAAGCAAGCTAAGTGCTTCTCGACATGTTTTCCAACTAGCATCAGCACCTCAACCTCACCGCACGCCTCCGAATGACTGTCCAAGATTCTAACCAAGTAATCCCCTCCAACTAACTCACAGAATGCTTCCCATGTTAACAGTTTTGTCAACACTCAACACCATTCCAAAACATTAAACGGTGGACGTCACTCTGTTTTGTTTAGCACTGTCAAAATGGGCCATGGCCCGCGGGCTGGCCCACCCGCCCGCCTAAATGGACGGGCTTGGGTCTTTGCTTGGCCAGCCCGTTCAATCGCGGGCCTATTTGGCCCGCCCCGTTTGGCCCGCAGGCTGGTGCGGGCTGGGGCGGGCTAGCCCGCGGGCCAGCCCGTTTTTTATTACTTATTTATAATTTATATTTAGTATTTCTTATTTTTCCTAACTTGTATCGTTCATTTTCAAAATTCTTCAGTACTCTTCCCCTTCAGTGTCGTAGTAACCCTAGCCCTCCCCGCAACTCGTCTCTCTCACGAAGGGCTCCTCGGCCGCGGTTTTCACCGGAAAAAATTTGTCGTCCGCCTCTCTCTTTTTTCTCTTGCCCCAGGTCGCCCGCCACATTCAATCTCTCCATCTAGGTAATTTTCTTATTGTTGAACTATATTTATATGGAAGGAATTTTTGCAGTAATATATATATATATATATATATATATTTGTTTATATTTATGAATTATAATATTGTATTGATGGTTGTATTCAGGATCGAAATTATAATAGTTGAAAGCCATGGGTGTCTCTTTGAAAATTTGATAATATTTTGGATTTAATTGTTAATAGATGTATTTCTCTCATGTATATAAAACTAGAAATAATGGAAAATTAAAGGGAAGGAAGAAGAAGAAGAAAACAGGCGTATTGCAGTAAATAAGAGATTTGTCAACCCATGTAGCTGAAAGCTTTTTGAATGTAGTGCTAATGTGCTATCAGATGTGGTGTTTTAAAATAGGAGCTTTCTTTCAACTATAAGCTAATTTGTCAAGCTCAAGCACCTTTATAAGAAAAATAAGAGATTTTTTTGACCCTTTTCACATAATTTTTCGTATTTGAAGTCAACATAAGAGTTTTAGATATTTTTGTTTACTTTATATTGGAGCAAGAATCATATAAATACTTGTTTTCGTTTTGAAGTTATGTCAAATATAAGAACATTGCGCCTGCTGCCAAGTTAATAGAAAACTTGTGTGACATGATTTGTTTGATGTATTTATGTTATAATTTCCTGGTTTTTGAACCTTTATGTGTGTTTTTCATAATGGAAGCTGAACAAATTGTTGATCTTGACGATGACATGTCAAGTCCAAATATTAATGAGTCGAATCCCAACCCAACAAAGAAAGCAAAAACAAATGATCCGACGTCGGGAGTGTGGGAGTTTTTTGATAGTTTAGGTACTGGATCTGATGGAAAGCCACGAGCTGCATGTAAAAGCTTGCAAGAAAGAGTATATTGCCGGAGGGTCAAGATATGGGACTTCTAGCATAACTCGCCATATGAATAAGTGCCAGCAATTAAAATCAAGATACCAAAGCGATGTAAGTAATTTACTTATTGATCATGCTGGGAAGATGAGAAGTAGAAACTTTTCTCAGAAAGTTCTTCGTGAAAAGATTGCTCAAGATATTATAAGACATGACCTTCCCTTTTCATTTGTTGAATATGATGGGATTAAGGATGTTCTTAAGTATTGTAATCCGGATGTGATAACCTTTTCTAGGAATGTGTTGAAACTTTATAAGGCTAAGAAAAACATCTTGAGGAAAATGTTGGCTAATGTTCGTAGTCGAATATGCTTGACTTCTGATGTTTGGACTACATGCACGTCTGAAGGTTATATATGCTTGACTGCTCACTTTATAGATGCTGAGTGGAAATTAAATAATTTCGTACTCTCTTTTTCTGCTTTTCCTCCTCCACATTCAGGGCCTGAATTGGCAAGAAAAGCTTTTGATTTACTAAGAGAGTGGGGGATTGACAGAAAAATCTTTTCAATAATCTTGGACAATGCAAAATCTAATGGTAACATGCAAGATATTTTGCGTGAGCAGCTTTGTTTGCAAGATAGTTTGTTATGTGAAGGTCAATTCTTTCATATTCGTTGCTCAGCACATGTATTGAATCTTATTGTGCAAAAAGGTATAAAAGTTGCTGGTGATGCTTTGCATAAGATAAGGGAGAGTGTTAAATATGTGAAGGGGTCAGAAGGGACAATGAAAGCTTTCGAAGAATGTGCTAAACAGGTGGGCATCCAAACGGGGATCCATTTGAGATTGGATGTTACTACCAGGTGGAATTCCACTTACATGATGCTTGAAAGTGCATTGAGATATTGGCGGGCTTTTACTAGCCTTTCTTTGTCTGATATAAATTATAAGCATTGTCCATCGGTAGATGATTGGTCAAGAGGCCAAAAAATGTTTGAATTTCTTCACCCATTTTTTGATATAACTAAGTTGATGTCTGGCTCTTCTTATCCGACTTCCAATGTGTATTTCACCCAAATTTGGAAAATTCAGTGTTTGTTGTTGAAGAATGTGATATGTGATAAAGGAGATGGTTCATGAGATGATGGGAAAGTTTTATGATTATTGGAAAGAATATAGTATTGTTCTTGCAATGGGGGCTGTACTTGATCCTCGGATAAAATTCCAATTGTTAGAGATGTGTTACGATAGAGTTGATCCGAGTACTACTCATGAGAAGTTAGAGCGTGTGAGGCGTAAAACGACATTGTTGTTTGAGCAATATTCAAATAAATCGGCAAATTCATCAAGCACTTCTGAGCCTCCTTTTACTACAACCAGTCAAGGTGGAGTGGGAATTGAAGTAGATGATTTAGGGAGCTCATTATCGCCTACGGATGTAAGATTTTTCTATTGCTTTATATGTATATATCACAAAAATGTACATTATCTTCATTCATTTTGTTCTTGTTTTTTCAATTTAATTATTTTTTCAGGACTTCAAGTTGTTCGATAGTCAAGTTGTTACCACTATTGGAAAGAGTCAATTGGAGAAGTACTTGGAAGAGGCGAAGTATGAATGGAATCATTTCCAAAATTTAAATGTCTTACAATATTGGAAGGAAAACGAATATAGATGGCCCGAGTTAGCGTTGATGGCTTCTGATGTTTTGAGCATTCCAATT